CGGCAGGTAATGTTGTCTAAGGATCGGTGATCGTTGATCGGCCAGAAAACTGCAATCGGTGCACCCCTAATATATATAGTCTACTTCATATCTGTGATTTCACTGGCTTCAGAATTCATTACCATCATCTTGCTCTGTGTCTCTCAATCAAGGGCCTAGGACAGAGTCTGATATTGGTGGGGGGATGGGACGGAATGGGATAATTTCATAATTTAAATGCAAAGCTCTATTTATTAAGGGGGGGATGAATGAAGACAAATTAAATATTGAGGAGTACACGTCCCCCCACCCTGTCTCACCCTGCTTGTCCGACCCTCCTGTGTGCCACACCCCCTCGTTTACCTCGTGTGGAATCCCTGTGTCATCAGCTGTTTCGAGTTGTTTTCATTAGTTCTGTGTATTTAAGTCCGCATCAGAATATGTTTCTGGAGTCTTGTCATTGAAGTTGTTATTTGTTTTGCCCTGTATGCCTCTCCAATTGCCTATTAAATCCCTTATTCCCTGATCCTTCGTCTCCTTCTCCTGCTTCCCTGGTCCGTGTCCTGCGATTTATGACACACCCCCTAAGTTCCTACACCCCTGTTGACAATGACAATACAAACTTTTGGATCTTAAATCTTACTAATAGAAATTAGTACAGAGAATTATGATAGTATTTAAGGAATCTTTAGGAATCCCCTATACAATTGGTCACATTCACACTTCTTGGTACCCCGTGCTGACCTCTCCTGCTCCAGGACCATGTCGAGATGCCTGAGTTGCTCCAGAAAGCCAGAATTCGGGCAAATGTGCCGGTGCTTCTTGACAGTGCAGATGGCCTCCAGCAGGGGGAGCCTTTCGCGGATCATGAGATACGCCAGCACCAGGGTGGCTGACCGGCTCACCCCCATAGCACAGTGCACCAACACCCTTCCTGCCACAGTGACAAAGGAAGGAACTGTTAACTTTAGATCTGTTTTTAAAACACGACACACTACAAAGTTAACAATACAACCATAACAAAATGGCCTGATTGTGTGTCAGCAGTACTGTTTCAGCCTTTTACTATCCTTCTTTCTGATGCTGCATTCCATTTACGTTGGAGGTTGGAAGGTGGAGCTGGGATATTAAAGATTGGGTTAACACCCAAGTTAACTGTGTTGCCAGCACAACGAGTCGGAAACACATTTAGCAATGTCAGGGACCTGTTTCAAACGGCAGTATTTCTTGCTTAGCTGGAAAACTTGTTGAATTTTAAGTACTCCAGTTTAAATGGCCTTTATCTTTGTTCACTTACATTTAGCCCAGACTTTCTTCAATCTGACAAATGAGCAAGGAGACTTGCATTCTGAAACAGGCCCCAGTACTAGCCAGGTTCATTGATAGCCATTGTTAGCAATACCAGTTGATAACGGCAGATTAAGTGGTATTTTTCACATACAAAGACCGTAGCAAGATGTCCACAGATAGCGGTTGGACAATGCTGTGTCTACGACAGGTTTAATGAGTCACAAACAAGACATAAGTGCTTCTAAACAGTATATGATTACAGCATTCACTTAATGAAGGGTGCAGCCATCTTCAATTGTGAGGTTGAGGTTGCAGAGGTTCCTCCAACTTTCTGACTCAGAATTCAGAATTTTCCAAATGGCACCTCAGAAATTCCAAGAGTTTAAATGGAATGCAGCATAAGGTTTTTCTACTGCAGCAAGACGTTCTGCTGCAGATGAGACATCACAAATGCTTCGCTGTGACATTTGTAAACAAAATCCCTTAATACTTGGAGAATCTTGCCTTTCTGGGACAGTGCAGTCTGGATGAATGCAGCTGTTGGGTAGAAGAATGGGCTAAGGTCGAAACTTGGATGGTCGGCAGCTTGAACCCCATAACAAGTGATGGCCATATCATTGTAGAGAGAGACGGGGGAGCGGATGCGTCCATCTGCGCCATTCACTATGTGGGTGATCCCCAAACCAGACAAAGTGGCCTTGTCTCGTGCTGTTGACCTGAACACAATCAGTTCACTTTCTTATTCACTAATAAGCCACCAGAGGCACAGCCACAAGTTAAACTCATTACCACCCTTTCTGCTGATCCCCAAAACCTGGGTTTCTCAATCGCTGGACATTTGGGAGAACCACAGCAACGAAAATGTGGTCCAGTCCATAATGAGCCACCACACGAATGCAAATCCAATCATAGGCTGGGAAAATTTGAGAAATTTAAGGATGGGGACACCATCCCCAGCCCACCAACATCATAAATGATGAATAGTGTTAATTTATATGGTAAGAATTGTTCCTAAAAACAAAAAATAACCTATTAAATCCATCCAGTTTCTGTACCTTCTTGTTCTAAGCCTATAACCTGTCAAATCATATCGAATTACACTTAAAACTTGAAAAAAACACTAACATATAGTAAAATAAGGAATTATATGATACACAGCATATAGAAAGTAGAAATAATGTATGTACAGTATAGTTTCACTTACTAGAATCAATACAGTCATGCGTTGCTTACTGACAGGGATACGTTCTGAGAAACGCATTACTAGGTGATTTTGTCATTGTGGGATCATCCCAGAGTGTACTCACAGAAGCCTAGATGGTATAGCGACTTTGTGGCTATATGTGTCATGCCCGGCTCGTCCGATCCTCGTGTGTGCCACGCCCCCCTCGTTACCTCGTGTTACTTCCTGAT